TGAGTAGGTGATACAGAATAATGGTAGTAAACACTGTAGATGGCCATAATCCATTACAAATATGGGAAGCGAGGAGGGGAGAAAAGGAGCAGTAACAATTAGATGGATTCATTAACTCTGGCACTGGTCCATTTCTGCAGAAAGCAAAAACAAAAAGCCTTAGCTTCTCTCTCCTTATGTGGAAATATGATTAGTCGAGGATAGTATTGCTAACAATAATACCACTAGTAATATTCACTGCCTTTTTGGAACTAAAATTTGAACTTACTCCTGAAAAATATTCCTTATGATCTGTGCTTTCATAGAGACTATTGTTTGGTGGTTATGGTGTTGCACTTGAATATTCATCCATAGTTTTACATTGTTGAGCCTGGCTTAAAATACCGCACAACAATATTCAGGTTGCAGCAACTGTCTTATATCCCTTGAAGTTTAGATAGGGACTGCCCATGGTGCTGAAATAGTGATAGCTAATTGCCATGTACGAATAATAGGCCAGTACTTTGCTAATCTCACTTTGTTTGTCCTTACTCAAACAAATTCCTTCTATATCTATGTACATCCAGCATTCAGAATGCATGGACGCCTTTTGATTTCTTTATATCTGTCTGCAGAATGAGGGGAATTTGTTGGCCTGAAACAAACTAGTTGTATAAGATGTCCGCATTTGGTTCTAAGATGTATTCTGTGTAATCTTCACTTCAGAGAGTCTCCTAAGCCAATTTTACAATTCTGTGAGGTAACTTAGTGATGCTAAAATAATTGGGATGCCTTGACTTTTATTTTGTAAGAAGACAATAGTCCTTGCTAAAGTCTCAAACACCCCAGACTGATGCATTTTCAGATAGCTAGTGGATTGGTTAAAAATAACTTTATATGACAGGATTTTGAGTTTCTTCTCTAAAGATAAGAGCCTAACCCTGCCTTGTTCAGACTAAAGTCATTCCAGGCAATATGTGGCGTTATAACTGTAATAGCAAATGCTATTCTGAGAGTCCCTTAGGAAAAACAAAAGGCAGTACCTCTAACAAAAGTATCATTTTACTTACTCTGTGATTCTTTGAGTACTGTATACAATAATATTCCAGAATAAATTGAAACGCACTGCATAGTTTAGAAGACTGCAGGTTGGGCCTTTTATAATGTGTCTGTCTTAGCCACATAGACCAAAGCTAGCTAGGCAGCATGTACATGTTTTGATTAATTTGTTGTGATTATTAATTCTGGTTAGATGTGCATGTTTTTTTCTCATGTATATTTAAAAAAAAAAATCAGTACCAGACACAATTGTCTAATTACAAAAAAGATTATACAAGCTACTTTATACAGTTCATATAGCTTAAAGTCTAGCGGTTCCCAACCTGGGATCCATGGACCCCAACCTGGGATCCATGGTCCCTGGATAGATTTTGGGGGATCCCTAAATTTGGATGAGAAAAAAAATACAACTTTATGTTCGCTTATATTACTATACTACATAATTGTTATTTTAAAACATTTTGATAACTGAGCATAATTGAGGTCCATAGGTCTCACCAGATTCTCAAAGGGGGCATAAACTATCTAAAGGTGAGACCCTCATACCTGTCTTACAGTTGCCAATATTCCCTGCCTGACTTCAGTTTTCTCTTATGTAAATGGCAGTCAAGTGGAACAGCTGGCCTGCATTTCCCCAGTACCTCAATTTTTTTCCAAGACTGCCTCTAATTGAAATAGGACTAGTAGTATTATTAGGTAATGGAGGGAGTAGGTAGCTACAGAACAGATGTTCTGCTTTGCTTTGTTCTGAACTGTGCTGCACTACCCACTCTACTCTGAGTAGGGTGGGTACTCTGAGTAGGGTGGGTACTAAGATTTTCAAAAAGGAAGGCTTTATAGTTCAACAGAGGCTGTGGAATGATCCAGGATAGATAGATCGGAAAGGACTTAGGAGTCACCCTGTAGAAGGAGAAGGTGGTGGGTAGACCTTCAAGTCAGTCCAGAATGAGTAAAAGAGGACTGCCAGGGAACTAGGGAAGATGCCATGGAGAAGGAGAGATTTATATGTTTCCTTGTATGATTAATAAATGGGTGTATGCCTACATTTCTGTGGATGAATGGGGGCTGTGTGTGTGCGTGGAGAGAGAGGGAGAGGGGGAGAGAGAGAGAATGAACACAGGAATGATACAGGCCATAAGGAGAGAATGTGGGGTGGTGGGAAGATCCTGAAAAGAGGGGTAGCAACCTTATATGTTTGCAACATACGTAGAGTAAGATGTAATTTGTGAGTTTGGGAGTATGATTTTGATAGAACTGGAATCCAAGGGAGCAGTTTTCTGTATTAAGGACCTCTACCCTGTGCTCAAAATCCTAGATAATTTTATTGTCTTTAAGTCTAATCACTTTGCCTTTCAGTGACATGAGCATATTGTGACTGCCCATGCCCACCACAGCAGTACTTTTCTGAGTAGGTATCAGACATTCTAGCCATTTTGTGACAGAACTTAAGACACTGTCAGAAATCCAGATATGCCCACCGCCCCTGAACTCTGCTTTAGAATCTAGACTCTGCTCTAGAATGTGAATGTGGATGGCTGGTCTACCTGCAGCATGTAGTATTGCTTGAGCTGCTGAATGCCTGTGGACAGAAGCAATCTAGGGGTTTGCTAGGGTTTGTTGAGGAGGGGATGAGTGTGGTTGGTTCTAGGGTGTACGTTTGGATTGGAGTGAGGGGTGAGTGTGGTTAGATGGGTCCCTTGGCATGGGGGGCTGTCTGAGGGTGGGGTGGTACTTGGGAAAAAGATCAGGCAGTACCATCAAAATCATGAAGGGCAGGGAAAGATATGGCAGGAGTCTGAGGGTGCACTGCACATGGGGAAGGCAGAGCTGCTGGTTAAATGTGGTCCCACCTTCCAGCCTTCCATATTCATCCCTGATGCCAGATCAGTGGTTCCTCAGTGGTCCTGAGTTCTAGCAGCTACTGCTATTGAATGCCAAGTCTCCCCCCCCCCCCCCCCCCGTTCCTAGGATTTTTCCCGCAGGTGCAAGGTCTGCTTTTTCAATCCACCAAATGTTGATACATTGGTTGCGACAGGAAAAGCCAACTGTCCCAAAGTCACCCAGCCACCTTTCATCCTAAGGCGGGACTAGAACTCACAGTCTCCTGGTTTCTAGCCTGGTGCCTTAACCACTAGACCGAACTGGCTCTCTTACTGAATGCCAGGTCTGTTAGTAATAAATCCAACCTCACCCATGTATCACCAAGACCTGGGTGGTCCCAGAAGGGAGAGTTTCTCTCTTAAAGATGTGCCCACCTGAGTTTTAAGTTTGACATCAGTCATTTGCTCAGGGCAGAGATATGGGCTGGCTTTTGTCATCTGGGAGACCTTGATGACTTTCAGAGGTTCTGCCCCAGAGATAACTGGGTGTGAGACCCTTCGGTTGAAATTGAGCTCTAGGGAACAGCTGGATTAATTGCTGCTCTACCAGCCTCCCTGCTGTACAGCAACACCCCTGCCTGAGCTACTTGTTTCGGTCACTTGCTTAACAGTTCAGTCCTCAAGGCTGATGGTTATTGGGTATTTCAATTTGGCCCAGGGTGGCTTAGAGTTTGGGGCACCTCTGTTCTTGGCCACATGGCCCTGACCCAAATCATTAAGGGCATGACACATACCAGGGGTAGCACTTTAGATGTAGTTTTTGTCTCGGAGCAGTTGCAGTGTGATCTGGTATTGAAGGACATTGTTATCAAGGCTTTGCCATCACTCTCTGATTCCTTTTTGGCTTGCTCACCCAAGTTTGGAATAAAGTATCATTAGCATGCTATCTTGCCCACAGGCCAACCAAGTGATGCTGCTAAAGTCTTGTCCGAGTGCCAGGAGGTTATGAGGGACTGGATGAGGAGGAGCAGACTCACTCTCAATCCTATCAAGACTGAGTGGTTGCGGGTATTTGGGCCATCTGACCCTGAAGAATCTCCATCTTTAGTCCTGGATGGGGTAGCACTCTCCCATTCAGGACTGGTGCACAATCTGGGGTTTTTCCAGGACTCACAGCTCCTCTTTAAAAACCAGGTGGCAGCTGTTGCTAGGAAGGCCTTCACACCCATTCATCTTGTGTGCCAGTTATGTCCATTCTTGAACGAAGAGGCTCTCCAGACAGTCACTCATGCCTTAGTCAGTTTTATATGGATTATTGCAATGTGCTCTAGATGGAGTTGCTCTTGAAAACCACTCGGAAGCTTCAGCTGGTTCAGAATGCGGTGGCCCAGGCAGTAATAGGCTCAACTTTGCTCAACAGTATAATACTTCTGCTTTGTGAGCTGCACTAGTTGTCAGTTAACTTCCAGGTGCAATTCAAGGTCCTGGTTACCACTTCTAAAGCCCTTCATGGCATAGGGCCTGGCTATCTGAGCGACTGTCTATCTCTGGTAGCTTATGCCTGTCCTGTTAGATCAGACAGACTTGGCATGCTCCAGGTCCCATTGATCAGACATAGTGATCTGATGGGACCCAGGGAGCATGCCTTGTCTATTGCTCTGCCTGCCTCTGGAACAGCATTTTCCCAGAGATCCCAATGGCTTCTCCCCTGCCTTCATTTAAAAGGTTGTCAAAAATGTGGCTTTTTCCCCAGGCCTTGGGTTAGAGTACATGATGGGCTTCTCATAGAATTTTCTTTTGACCTGAATGTTGTCCTTCCCAAACCTCTTTTGTTTTCCTGCTTTATGTTTTTTTTTAATTTTAATTGTTTAAATGCTCCCAGGGTTGTCAGGCAGCTTTATAAATCTTATAAATAAATAATAAACAAATAGATCAATACTATTCACTTTGACTTGCAGTGATTTTTCTCAGTTTTAAAGGCCTTATCTCATTTTAAAATACTTTCAGCTAGGGATCTATGTGCAAAGCCTATGAGCCATAGCCCTTTTCTTTACATGAAAGCCCTTTCTTCAAGGTGCCCTCTGTTGTTGTTCTTTGTCTTTTTCAGTTTTACTGAAAGTACACTGTATTTTTACATTGTAGAATCCTGTTGCCAAATGAGGACATTGGACAGTGGAATAGGAACCTTTCCTCTCCCAGACTCAGGAAACCGTTCAACAGGCCGACATGTTTCTAAACAAGGAATGGATTTAGAAAACGAAGATTTCACATCACCTGAGCAACCTTTTCCTCAGACTCCTTCTGAGAAAGCCAAAACCCTAGAACGAGAAGTGCCTTCAACAACTAGTAAAAGCCAGGGATCTGTAGAGAGCATAATTTCTCATTCAGCATCAGATCCTGCAATGACTGATAGAGGTGTGCAGACTTTTCAGAGTCGTCTTCCAAAATCAGCTTCTTCAGGTAATTTTTTTTATAATAACTTTATTAAATTTTAAAAACAGAAAGATAAGAACTAACAAGAATTAATAATCTAGGAAAAGAATAGAAGAAAAGAAAGAAGAAAGAGAAAGAAAGAGAACAGAAGTGCAGAAAAAGAAAAACAGAAATACAAAAAAAAATGACTTCTGACTTCTTTTACAGCGGATATAAGTAAAACATACATTAAACTCTTACTCTAGGATTACAATTTAACATTCATTTTTTCTATAATCTATTAATTTTACTAATCATCAAATCCGTATATAATTTCATTTTTTTCTGTTTCCGGTGAAAAGTTCAAAAGGGGCTTCCAATTAGCATTAAAATTAGTCAGTGTCTTTTCTCTAATCAAAGCTGTCAATTTTGCCATCTCAACTAGCTCCATCAACTTTATCATCCATTCTTCCATTGTAGGGAATATTGAGTCTTTCCACCTTTGAGCATATAAAGGTCTCGCTGCAGTTATCATATATAAAAAGAAAGATCCGTAAGATTTTTCCAATTGTTTATCCATCAGTCCCAAAAGAAATGTCTCTGGTTTAGATTGTATATTAAACTTCAAAATATTCTGAATTAATATATGTATTTGAGTCCACATTTTTTGCTTTATTTCATGTTCTCCAAAAATGAAGCTTCTTTAGGTAAAATGACAGGTTTTTGTTTTTGCAAATGAGACGCTTTGTGCCCAGATGTCAGTTTTCATTAGCAGAGACCTGCTAATGATAACATTGTACAAAGACATAAGAAATATGCAGCTGAAGAGACTCCTCATATTACTATAGGAGGTTTACAAGCTGGTGATTACAGTGAGATGGAAATGCTATTATGCTGAATGGTAATCTGTTGTTTTTTAAAGTAGGTTATATGACATACCATGTGTTATGGGTTCCTTTTTAAACCATACTCAGTTAGACTGACCCAGACTCAAGAGAGACACAAAAGCATTGGACCCTGGACAGGCAGTTTCTTTATATCTCCCTGTATGGGATGGGGAGAGGTTTTATTTTTAAAAAACAAACATATGAAAGTGATATGTGAAGGCTTCCTATATTCTGTTCTATTGCTATCTCTATACTATTACTATGATAATTACTATACTTGACAATGTTTATATTATACTCTATACTATTACTATTCAATATACTATATGCTGTGCTCTATACTATTGCTAGTAGGCATCAACATTTCTTTCTTAAGCCTGTTCTGTCTGAAGTCCCTTCTCTCTCTGGATTTCTTCTTCTTTTTCTGTTAATGGCCAGCGTGTAGAGCTCTTGCACCTTCTTTACATTGTGCTTTGCCTT